CTAGAATTTTATGATACATTAATATCTTTCAAATACATTTCCTTTTATGCCTAAATAAGCCAAAGTAGTTTTCTGGTATTTGCAACCAAAAGAAACAGTTTAATACAATGTTAAAACAACGCTAATTTATCTATTGATGTAAATTCGTTGAAATTTCATCATTTGAATCTCCCTTGGACTTTTCCAAGTTCTTTTTAAGTCTTGTTGCAACACAATTCTAAGAATTACAAAAGGTCATGACTCAGCATTACACAATTTGGTATGACTACACTAGCACTAGATAAAAAGTAAGTACTTAAAAACTTTTTTATGACAAGCATTTTAGACCTGGAAGTGACCATGAAAGATTCAGTCAGTTCAACCCACTAAGTCATCACCTCCCTCACTCTTCCTGTCAGACTAAAGAACTTGCTCAGTACTTGACAACCTTCTTCACACCTTTCCTTAATACAGGGGTACTTCTAAAAGTTTGTGGAAAAATAGAATTAAAAGATAATATGAATCTTTCCATGAACTTTTTGAAGTAACTTCATATGACCTCTTCTATCTACGTATCTAAAATTTCATAGAGTTCTTTGTAGGTTGCCAGATTGAGCAAATAAAAATATAGGACCCTCAGATAAACAAATAACTTTTAGTCTAAGTATGTCTTAAATATTGCATGATAACTAAAAAAGTATTCACTGTTTATCTGAAATTCAAATTCGACTAAACACACTGTATTTTCTCCCCCTCCCACCCCCACCTTTCCACACCACAGTCCCTTTCTCCTTTGGGTTTGTGATTCTGTATAGAAATAGACTCCCCTCCCACTTTCAATTTCTAAAATATGTAGCAATGATAGCAGGGACAGACTGACCTTTCGGCTATTTGAAACTTTCCCTCACAAATAGAGCATAATAAGGCTTAGAGTTCTTGCTAGGAAAGGAAGAAGAAGCAAAAGAAGACCAGAGGAATTGGAAAAGGAATGGAAGACAAACCTAGGTATCCTGCCTGTCTAGAGGAATAAGACAGGTCAGAAGCACACTAGTAAACCGTAGAAACAAAACTTCTTTTAATCACTGAATTTGCAAGAATGGCCATTAAAAATAGCACATGTGCCAATATATGAAAAGTTTTTATTAGCCAAAATTGTAAATTATCATAAAAAAAAGAAAAAAAAAACTAAATTATCACTCGAAGAAGTTGCCTAATAATCAAGTCTTTATACAGTCTCTTGTAATGAAGCAACAAAGTACCAATTGGAAAAGATATTCACCAGAAATGACCTTGATCACTGTATTTTTGGAGGCTTACACGTATAACTAATGGAATCAGGAAAAATAAAATTTAACACC